CGTCATTATTTTAGTGACTGTCTTCTGCACCTTTTCCAGTTCCATTATGGTTTTTTTGAGGTGCAGTGACCAGAACTGTACACACTACTCCAGGTGCAGCCTTACCAGTGTTTTGTACAATGGCATTATAATGTTTGCTGTTTTATTTTCAATCCCCTTTTTAATTATACCAAGCATGGAACTGGCCTTCTTCACTGCCACCGCATACTGGGTTGCCGCTTTCACCAAGCTTTCCATCAGCACACCAAGATCTCTTTCCTGATCCATCAGGTACAGTTAAGAACCCATCAGCTGATAATGTTTTGATTTATTTTATTTTATTTTATTTCATTTTTTTGTTGCTCCCTTTGCCTGGGCAAGTTAGGCAAATAGCAATAGGGTTCTGGCTTCTAAATATCTACCTAAAAATTGTGTCACAATTAATGGGACCTTCTTTCCAGAAGAGTCTGTATAGGATTACAGCACTGAAGTCTTGAAGGGACTGACTACACAACAGCACTAGATGAAATATGCAAGAACACCACTGAAAATTGAAAAAGGATCAGATCACACAGAATACAGTTTGGAAAGATAAAAGACAGCCAGCTATACATATATATGTACATGTTTTTCGTTCTCTCAAAGAATCTTTGTAAAGGAATAAGAATTGCTAGGTTTTCACTCTTTTTCCCCAGGCGAATACCAGGACCAACCTTATGCGAATTGAACTCCGGAACCTGGACAGTCACTGCACAATACCTTTTTCCTATACAAGCATTTATTTCCTTATCACCTTGGAAATCTCCATTTCACCTAACCTTGTAACCTCTTTGCAAGATAATAAATTGTTTTTCTGTCAGAATACAACAATGTAACCATGTACAGTATTTCCATAATATGGATTAGGGACTCAATTGTTTTTCTTATTTCTGTGTCTTGATTAGATTTAAACTTTTAGTGAACATGGGCCTACAGCAATATTGAGAAATTAATATCTTTCAGTAGGTATATGTGCATTGTCTCAATTGGAATTTTGTCTTTCTTACCTTTTCCCAGCACAAGTTTTTCCTATTCTCAATAATTAAATTCAGATGCCTACATATTCTCTGTCTCCTTTCTTCCAAATTTCCATGCTGTTATCAACCTTTTCCATTTGTACTTGATTACTATAGCTACAATTTCATTTCTCCCTATGGTCACTGCGAACCCTTTCGTTAATTATTTTATTATTAATTATCTTTCTTCTTGATCTTCCAATTTCTGCTGTTATCCTATTTCCATTTGACAGGCTGCCGCCTAGCTTCTATTTCCTGCCATTCAGGTCATATCACTTTTATACTGCACTAGTTTCCTCCTGTTCCTCTTCACTTTGCCCATCTATTCATTTAACCTAAGACGGTTTTTTCTATTTTGCATCTGTCCTCTTTTCCTTTACAGACTTCTGTTGTGGAAGTACCTTTTCACTTAATAACAGAATCTCTTTCACTTTAAAAGTCCCCTTAAAATGTGTCTGCTCACTCCAATTATTCCCCTTGATTCCTTCTCCGCATATATTCTTTACCCTTCCTCTTCAACTTTATTGTCTTTCTTTCAACTGTGAGCTTACATACAGGGGCTATTTTCCATTTTCTATATATCATGTATTGTAGTCATGTTCTAAATATGTTAAGTGTGACTTGAACAACTGAAATAGTGAACAATAACAGTAAGTACATTTATTTACTTCAAATGATGGGCACCTACTTTAAATATTAAAGATATTCAGAAATGACTGCAGTTTGGATGACATAATATAAATGCTATCATGTAGACCTGATCACTATAGATGATTTTTCATAGCATTCACAATAATATGAAAACCAGCTCTTACACAGTTGCTTTCAGAAAGTGCTCAGCTCCTCTGTCAAGAGAGTTGAGAACATCACTACCGTTGCTATTACCAACAAGAAGAGAAGGGGAAAAGGTCAACCACCTAGAGTGCCAACTATGAATTTGGCTAGAAATTTAAAAATCATTTCACACAAGTCTGCTTGGCTGCCTAAAAGACAGTATAATTTAACATGATTCACAGCATCTGAATATGAAAAAGGTAATGTAGAAAGCTAACAAAACAATCTACTGTATTTTACCAAGGTCAACTGCTTAGGCAATTTACTTGCAAATTCTTTGTTATTTGTCTGGTGAAATGAAGTGTCAGCTAAGAAAGACAGGAAACAGGTTGAAGTTTTTAATTTCAGGATTTATATTCCAGCTACTGAACAGATTATTATATCACTTTGTTTTTAAGCATGCTGGCTTGCATGAAAATATAAAGGCAAGCTTCTTATCAATATACTGTTGCACTTTCTTGTAGTGTTCAGAATAATTCGCTTTCTCGTATTAAATTCTCTGTAGTGTTCAGGACAGTTCTAGCCTCTGATGTGTGAGAGAGAAACTGCCACTCCTCCAAGACATCTGAATTCAAAGGCTTAAGTGAAAAACCAGCAAAGGAATTGCAAGGATTATACACTGCAGATAAAACTGATTCACTTGTTTGAATCATTATACCCCTATTCATATAAGCAACACATAGTATCACAGAATAGTCATAATCAAATATACAATTTCATACAATTCTAGTTTATTCCATTCTAATACTGAGTTCTATATATCCTGTAATCTGTTTGACCCAGGTGATGAACAAATCAAAAACATAAGGAATTTTAAAATAACCTCATTTTTTCCCTTTTTTTGGGGGGGGGTGGATTGTATCACAAAACAGCAGGTATAGGCACAAGCCAGTCCATGTTTCACTGCACTAAGACTGCAACTACATCATCAAATAGAATTTATTCTGCTTATTAAATAGATGAATTTGAAGGATTTTTAACTGACCACATGATGAAAAGGCTGATTCAAATAAGTTCAACCCTTTTTACTCCCAAAGCAGCTTTTTTCTTTGCTGCTGGGGGACTTCTACTTTTTCAAGCTGTAACAATTTGAATTGTGGTAGTTGTGATATGTTCTTGTACAGACAGTGTATGTGTTTTTAGATGGTGACATAGGTAGTTGGGTGTGATGTTCAGGACTGGGGGAATATGCTCCAACATTCTTTCTTCTCCCCCAATTGTCCTCTGAAATATTTTTTTAAAATTCTTACATATATAAGATTAGCACTAGATCACCCTATCACCAGATCATCATTATTATAATTTCCCATATTTATACCCTATAAAAAGATTTGAAGAGTCAGGACCAAAGGAGGGAAGGAACAGCAGAGGTGAGACCAGAGGAAAGAAGCAAAGAAGGAGAGGCTGTAGGCTGGAATGCGAATTGCATCACATCCAGTATGAATGGTGAACTTCCAAATCAATCTGCAGCTCCTGTTTGAGCACTGATCCAATTTCAAATGCAATACAGACAACTATGAATCAAATACAGCAATGTATTTCCAGCGTAGCTGCCTCCTAACTTCACACAACTCCTGACAAAAGATACACCATGCCTTGATGTGACCACTGACATCGGCTTGTTGGTGGGAGGCTCTCCAGCAAGTTTTGTACAGAAGCAGTTTGGGATGAATCCACCTGATATTTTCCACTTTGAATCTGAAGTTGGAAGGGAAACAAATTACAGAAACAATGAACAGGGCTTTAAATTCATCCATCATTTCCCTCCACTTCCTACAATAGCAATAAAGCCCAAAGGTATCTCACCATCTAGATGCCCAGAAGGTACTGTACAAGGAAAGAGAGCCTCAGTGAAATAGTTACCTTTTGCCGACTTTGAAAGCAGAAATCCAAATTATGTGAACTATACAGCTTGAACAAATACCCTGGCTTGCATTCAGCATTCATACAGCCGAGGGCTGAATGGAGCCTAAAACAGTACAGAACCTGCATGTGGTAGTCTAGGTTAGAAACAGCAATGAACATATGTCTGCACCTACTGCCAGCCATACCCATTTTTGCTCCTGAAGTAAAAGGCTAATGTGACACTCTTTCCCATTCATTTTCTGTACAGACACTAGAGGTTAGATGTAATAAACCAGAGACATCATCAGGACTGCTGGGAAACCAGTTCTACCAAGCTTTGCCTCTCCCAAATGTTCAACCAGCACTACTGTATCAGCCTGAGGAATTTCAGAACATTAAAAAGCCTTCACTCTCTTCTTTTCCTTTCCCATTTCCATACCTTTTACTTTTCTATTTCTTTTCAGATCGTAAACCTGAGGGCAGTAAATCTTATTTTTGTTACTGACACCTAAGCCACTCTAAGAGCCTTTCAAACTGAAGAGGGGAATATAAACACTATACTACAATAAATACAAGTGCCCTCCATGAAATCTTGCTGCCTGAAGTGATGTCTCGTAAAGTTAGCTCTATGAGAGTTGTTTTACAATAATTACCAAACTCCTACAGAGGTACACTAGATATTTTCTGATTTATAATATTGACCTGACATTTATCTATTACATGTCATAACATGCTACATAACAGTTTACAGTATAAACTAAATACAGTACAGACAGGAAACAAGAACAAAAAATTCATATAAAAATTGAATAAACTGCACAGTAAAAATAGTCAATGCTTATGCATAGTAGTGTCTTCTCTCATTTGAAAGAAAGAGCCAAAAGGAAACAAATCAGAGGAGAAAAACAGCAACAGCAAAACTGCCTTTTCCAAAGAGGTTTTATCATTACGAGAAATAACAAAGGCGAAAAATGAGTCCAGCAGTACTTGAACTCTAAGTGTTATTCATTTTGCACCTTCCAGTTACCTTTAGTAAGAGCTTGGACTTTACAAAAGCCAAACTGACAATAACAAAAAGCAGAGAACCATTTTCTTGTCACTTCGCTTGCAACTATAAATTGCTGTTAGCAGATCCCATTCTCCAAAGTGCTCACCTGAAGAAGAAAGGCACGGAGAGCAATGACTGTGACGTCAGGAAGTTCTGACAATTTTGTATTTGCTGCTTCTTGAAGTATGTGGCTGATCTCACTTTGAGAAATAATGCTGGTGTTTTGATACCTCAAAAACTTGTCAGGAGAGAGGAAGGAATAAAATTACATGTTAAATACAGTTAAGACAAGACACATCATACAGAGCCACTAGCTGCTGCAAGGTAAATATGGACAGGCATTTCAATTAGAAGTTAGTTAGGCTTTTGGTGATACTGTGCTTTCTTTCTTTTTTAAGTATAAATTTAAACTGCTTTAGATACCATGTTTCCCCAAAAATAAGACAGGGTCTTACATTAATTTTTGCTCAAAAAATTAGTGCAATTTTGTGCAATTTTTAAGTACATTAATCTTGTGCCAGTTGGAGCAAGGGAGGACTACAGAACCAGCAGAATACCTTTCAGATTAGCGATCCTATGGAAACATATGTTAGAATCAAACTTCCAGAGCTGCAAAATACTGGATATGAATGTAGAAGCAATACCATTTAATAATATACAGAAGTACTGAAACTCCTATATGAAATTAGCTGGAATAACGTCCACTAAACTCAGGCCACAACTAGGTGTTACAAATAAAGTACCAGAACATTTTGGTAAAAGCACATTAATTCCATCAGCTACACATCTTGCATGTCCCAGTTTTGTTTTAGTGACATGCAAGTCAGTTACTCATCATAGAAATAAACAACAGCATACTGTATAGGAAAGCATTAGAATCCCTGTATAAGCAGCGCCTCCACCCCTGAATTCATTACTGTTTTTTTAAAGAGGAAAATTCTTTTGCTGTGCTCACAGACAATAAAAGAGGATTTAGCAGGTAGTGCTGAAAAGAAAGATAAATCCTGGTTCCATGGGCCCCCTATATACAAGTTCTTGGGCAGACTATTCCATCATAATGGAAATCATCCTGGTGGACAGAGCATTATAACAAAGGGATAGCAGTAGAGAGGACACAAAAAGACTAGAAGAATTAAATCATGAGATATTGTTAACGGTGGCTGGTAACTCTACTTTGCAGAGGTGGTAAAAAAGTGGATTGATTGAAAAGCCAGCACACCCACAAATAAAGTCAATAGGTTCCACTGAGATATTGGGGAATTTTACCAGCACACATGTAACTCATCTTAGAACGTGCTGTTGATAGAAGATGCCTCGGGCTAATGTGTTCTGAGCCACAATTATAACCCAAGAGATTTTCTACCTCAGATTCTAGGGTGCCAACATAGGAAAAACACCAGAGACAAGCTCAGATCTCCCAGTTTATTTCTTTTTTAAGCTTTGCATTTCAGGCTGCAACTACACGGTCAAATACTAAATGATTTGCTGTGGATATAAAACAGATTAATTCACTTTTCTTTTCTTTCTTTCTTTTTTTACTGAGGCCAATTCAAATTAGTCCAGTCCTTTTTTGCTCCCAACAAGGAGATTTTTCTCTTCTGCTGAGGGCTTCTACTCGAAATGATTTAAACAGACTTTTCTCTTGTGATCAGTTCTTTTGTTTTCCAAAAGGCCAGGGGACATGACTGTGGGTGCTATTCTGGTGACATATTAAGCTTAGCATGATGTTTTGGACAACACCCATGTGATCCTATTCCCTAGTTTCCCAGAAATATTTTTTACGTTTTAAGAAAACAAACTACCAAGTTTAATACTAGAACACTTTATCACTACATTGATATACTAGTTTAACACTAGATCACCACTGCACAGACAAAAAATAATATAAAAATCAATATGAAATACAGTAGAAACAACTCTAATGAACCACAGCAAACTACAACGTTTCCGGAGTAAGTGTTTGCACATTATGCAGAACATTGGGAAAGTGTCCTTTTCCCCTAGTGTCATGCAACACTTTAAACAGCCCACTGACTTTATAATGAACTATAAATGGAGCACCAGAAATTAGCAGAGGGAAGGATCAAAGAAAGGGGAGCTGTTGGCTGTGGAGCAGATAAAATCACATCAGACTGAGAAGCCAGTGTGGACACTGGCACTGAAACAATCTGCAGTCTCAGTTTGAACCTGAACAGAAGCATAAAATAGGCTGTAAATCAAGCCGCAGCAAGGTTGAATCAGCTTGCCAGTGTAGTCATAGCCTCACTCAGAATTAGCCATGTTAGGGCCTGTTTACATTTCTAAAAAAACCTCTCAAGACGTAGCATTATAATTTTTGCCAGCTCAAGTCACATGGTTTTTTAATTGTTTCCTACGTTCCTACCTAGCAATTGAAATGTATATCTTCTGCTAATGTACCAATTTGGGAGACTATATACTTTCATCTTGTGTTCTTAAATTGGGTATGCATGTAGAGGCTGTCTTTTAAAACTGGCTATAAGGTTCACAGTGGGCTTAGGTTGATTAAGAAAACGGTGTGCTAAAAGAAACAGCCCTCTGGTGGTCGTTTACTTTAACTAGTTTCCTAAGAAAATGAACCGAGTCAGAGGAAAACAAATATGCACTTTGGAATTAATTGTGAACGTGAAACACAGCATAGTTTTTAACACAGGTCAAATGCCAGGTATTTTGGATGTATGACCAGGCTCTAATTTGGATTAGGGTGGTAATACAGGAGGATTTAACCTTTTCTTCCACTGCCCCAACCACAGCATCAATCTGATAAAAAATTGTACACATCCTAAATGTGTATGTACACTGTACATAAATGGTGAGGAAGTGGAGAGAGTTGGTAGTTTTAAATTTATGGGCACTTACATCTCAGAGGACCTCTCATGGACTATAAATGCTAACATGCTAGTCAAGAAGGCACAGAAGTGGATGTATTTTCTGAGAATGCTCAGGAAGTTAAAGTTATCTCAGCGTTTATATCTGTCCTACTATCGTAGGACCATTGAGAGTGTCCTAACCTATGGCATTCTGGCATGGTTTGGGAGTAGCTCTGTAGCGGACAAAAAAGCTCTACAGAGAACCATTAAATTTGCCCAGAATATCATTGGGCTCCAGCTACCAACCCTGGATGACTGAGGAAGTCACGCAACATCCTGAGAGACTCTTCCCATCCTGCTTACAACTTTTTTGAACTGTTGCTGTCTGGCAGAAGAAATAGAACAATTAAGACTCGGACCACATGTTTTCTGAATAGTTTTTATCCCAGAGCTATAATTGCACTTAATAATGAGCTTCAAGACCACCAGTAGTGAATAGTTAGTTGGACACTGTTACATAGCCTGCTGTCACGTTCCCGGGGGTTACAATAGCCGAAGTCCAATAAACCAGTCCAAGAGCGGAGATACCAGGAATGCAAAGCCAAAGTCCCGAAACAAACTTACAGAGTGCAGTCCAATGTCAAAGTCCAGGGGCAGATACACAGTCCGAGTCCAGAGTTCAGAGTACAATACCAACATAGTCCAGGGCCACGGTCCAAAGTCCAATACCAGCGCAGTCCAGGGTCAAGGTCCAGAGATCAGAGACAGGAACAAGAGACGTGGATGCTAGCCAAGGTTTTGACTCCGTGCTTCCACGAAGTTTCTGGCTTCACTGAAGCTTTTTTAATACTAAAACAGCTCCTTGAGCTGTTGGAAAGCTCTCTATTCTGCTAGTACTCAGGGCTAGGTGAACGTAGGTCCCTGTGGAAAGCCTTAGAGCGATCCTCTGCTCTTCTTGCCCTGAGTCTTTTCCGAAGCCTGCCCCGAAGCCTGTCTGCTGTGGAGGGAGAATCTGGAGGCTGCTCAGCTGTTTCCGATCTCTCCACATTCTCCTCAGCCACAGTTAACCCTTCTGGGTCCAGATCTTCGGAAGCACTCATGACACCTGTGGTGTAGATGTTTGTATTCTTAGTGGGGGATTTTTAGTGGGTGGGGAGTGTTTGGGAATTTTTATGTGTGTGCATGTGGGTCTGGTCTATGGATGCCTGTATGAATTTCGTTGCATGGGTATACCATGTATATACTTCCAATGACAATAAATAAAATTATTATTATTATTAAAGCTGCTTTCAGCTTTCCTGAGGAGCAGAAGAAGATGTTATGAAAAAGCTTGGGGAAAATTATGATTAGGAAAACAGCAACAGGGATGGGGAGCTTAAATAATCTCTCCTCCTCAAGATGAAAATCAAACTCTCAACAGCTGTGCTCACTTTTTTTTATTATTTTCTTGTAAAAACAAGTCTACAAATGTCAGATCTATTTTGGCTCAAATGAGTACTTTCAGGACTACATTCAAGCTGTATGTTTTTTGAAATAAACAATATAAACACTTGTAGTCACAGTGTATTTCAACTTAATGCTAGATAACAGTTTACAGGCTCTGTCCTCTGCCAGTTAAAGAGCCTGTGTACTCAAACAGGCCAGATGCAGCTTTGAAGTTACTCTAGAGACCTACATTGTCTGATATGGAGGACCAAATTTCTAATTTTCCAGCATTCAGTATGTCTAGGGGCTACCCCAACTGAAATCTAACACCACTACATTGGCTGATGAGATCCATTTTACTGTCTCCATTCTGCCTCTGCCAATATGCAATGAAAAAGAGATCAAGTGTCCCTGCTTCCTTCCACCTCTTTATTTTTGTAAGGTCCTGCCTGATATAAATATATTAATCCTGAAACTTTGCACACTTCTTTATACCTTTGTTGGTTCACCTAATAAAGGTAGCAGTATAGACTTTGGAATTTGGTGCCCGAAAAATGGCTACCCAATGTTTGTTTGTACTCACCAAAGTAACTAGTCGAAGAATTTCTGAGTGAAGAAAGGAATTTTCACTACCATCAAGAAGTGTGATCAGCAGGAATTTATTCCACGGTTGTGAGACAACATGACATGCTAAAAGTAAAGAAACCAACCACAAATAACTTCATTTTTTAAAAAAAAAAATGAATACTTCAAGGAAATAAAATGCACTACCTCCATCAGCAAGAGCTGTTATTGCTGGCCACAGTTTAAGTACATATCTAATGCATTGATGACAAAAATATACTGAACTGGAGAAGAGGAGGAGAAAATTTAGAGAACATCAAGTTCAAGAGAATTGCTAGATTAGTCAATGTTGAAATTAGACTGATTGGGTAATCTCTTCTGCCTTACATAAGATATAGAACCAATAGAAAATAAAGCCAATTTTACCTGCTCCTCATCAGTTCTCTGAAAAATTGTATGCTTCTGTCTCAAAGCAAGGATGTGTATGTACAGTATCATAATATTATATTCACCTATATCACTCCTCCCTACCTTTGTGGCTCACAACTACCTTATTTATTGAATAATATAGACTGTGTACAAAACTGTGTAATTCTTTGCCAAATTTCATCATTTAATATATTATCTGATTGAGGTCTAACTGAAACGTACCACATGGAGTCTGACATAAAATATAGTACAGAGAGAACCAAAATGAGAATTCTAGAAATCCATAGTTCATTGTGGTATAGAGCGGTGGTCCCCAACCTTGGGCCTGGAATTCTAGAAATCCATAGTTCTGCTTTATTTTTTCATTGTGGTATAGAGCAGTGGACCCCAACCTTGGGCCTACAAATGTTCTTGGGCTACAACTCCCAGAAGCCTTCACCACCACCTCTGTTGGCCAGGATTTCTGTGAGTTGAAGTCCAAGAACATGCCTGGGGGACCAAGGTTGGGGACCACTGGTATAGAGCATTTCCTCAGTCATCTGCTATTTGGCTATACGTAAAATAAGGCTAAAGCTCCTTTTCTTAATAATTGGTAATGAAACTCTTTCCTCTGACTACCTCTGGTAGTGATGCAGTGCCAGTTATTGCAGCAAATGCAAACAAAGCAACAATAAAGAAATCATTAAACTCTATACCAATACTCTCATTCTTTGAGTGCAGATATCCCAATAAAATTTCAAGACAGCCAAGGACAGTTTGTGATAGCAAAAGATCCTTCTGTAAATATAAAAAGGAAGAGGGGATAGTGATTAGCTGCAGATAAAAACATACAAATACAGTACCAGTTCTTAGATTGCAACTTAAATAACCAAAATATCCTCCATCCCACAGAAGATACAGCCAAAATAATTCAAAATGCTCTTCACATCCCATAAAACTGCATTATATCCTCCTCCTAGGGCTTCATTAGGAGCTACTGCTGCTGAGGGACTTAATCTATAGAAAGTTATTGGACATAAAATAAGACTTGACAAATATTTATACTCCATCTGCATTGAAAATGAAAGAATTATCTAATACATGTTCCTCAGCTCTATAAAGAATGGAAGAAAAATGGCAGAAATTGAACTTAACTGTATACATTCTTGATTTATCTAAGTGTTTGAAACTGATCATCCTTGCTACTGCTGACAGTAAGTGTTTCAGGGTTTTTTTAAAAAATATATCAATTGATTTCTACCTGGATCAGTAGGTTCTGCAGATGGATAACCAAGGATAGTATGTGGCACATGGCCAGTGGATACAAGGAAGCATCCTCATTTGACTGTGGCAGTTGTTTCCCATCTTCATCTATCTGCTGGACAACCAATTTCACAAAGGACGAACAGAAGTTTTGCCTAAAGAGGGCTCTCAGAAACTGAAGAATACTGACTGGACATAAAATTATGTATTAGAAAGAAAGAAGTTACTCATCCTCCATTTCAGATACCTTTCACAACCACCTGTTACTGCTCTAGAACTCTATACTGTACTGCATGCAAATACCTAGAATTATGTTTTCAATTGCTATATCTATCTGTTGTCCCAAATCGTAACTGGCCATCATCAACTGAGGCAACGGGACTGATCAACCAAAGGCAACACTACTGTGTAGATGAATGCATAGTGTCCTGATCCCAACACATTTAAATGTAACGGGTAATTACAATGGGCAGCAGTTTCCTAATGTAGAATTTATACATTTTCCTATAAAAAGCAACTTCCTTTAAAAAAAGTGAAGCTGCCATTACTGGTACTTTCTTTTTCAATACACTCTCAACTATAAATTATATTGGCTGAGATGTAACCTACCAAAGAATAATATGGACTTCCTCCTCCTAAAGGCAAGTGCATGAAAGACCTTGTCAGCATCAAGACAGATGGTATAACGAACCTTTCAGGAAGAAATCAGAGGATAGTTGGGGGAAGGAAGTGGAGTAAAAGAAATAGGTCCCTACAGACAGCACAAAGAACGATATTTTCTTTCTTCAGAGATTACCCATTCAACAAGAACCCAAGTACTGAACTTGCAGACCTTATAGTATTAATTTATAACATTGGACAGAGCCTCCATAGATTTTGTATTCAGAATGAGGAAATATACATAATCAGTTAGGCAACTGTGCTTTTGAATCTTTCTATTAAAACCCTACAGAAATGGGTGTTATTTACTTCTCCAGACTGCTTCCCTTCAGAGGATTAAACTGACCTGACATCAGCTTACATTCAAGAGCATCAGATGCTTCCACTTGCATATTCCAGCAGTTCTGCAGTTGCATCAAAACATTGAGGGGAATGCAAGGATACTCCAAATGCACATTTTAATATAAAATTCAAATTTCACAGGGACCATGGATGAATCAGGTGTTTCCTAAGCCATCTGTTATATGGGATGTACAGTCACTTACAAAGATGACCATTTATTTTAGACTATGGAATAAACTGTGATTTGGGAGTGAAAGAGCTGGGTTTTTTCCCATTTCCCAGGAGATTATATAATACTGGCTACAGTCAGACAGTCATCACTTGCCCAAGCCACAAATAAACCAAGAAGTCCTAACCAAACTATTCGTTTCTTGTTTTGTCTGGATCAAGGAACCATAATGAAATGGTGTGCTGAGTTCTTCGGGGGGAGGAAGCAGCAAGAATCCTCCATCGTATTTATTTTTATTAGCCCATTCATCACTATGATTTACGCCATTGCCATAACAAAGGTGTCAACCCACAACAGGATTCTGGCCAGTATTTATACAATATATAAAATAATCTATGATGTATAAATGTATAACATTTTCAAAGACTGCCTAATATGGTTGCTCAGGTGAGTAATGAAAGAGCTCTGTCAAGAGGCAAAACTCTTGTTCATATTTTGGGTTATGCCATTAGTCAAAAGCAAGCCAATATGTTCTTAGGATTTTATAGATTTAGAGAATGAATAATGAGACTTTAACAAATCTTAACTGTGGCTGCATCATGTCCTTACTAGGGAATATGTTGTAATATGTCCATTTAGGGGGAAATGTTTAACTGATTTGCATGTCATCTTTCCATTGCCCAAATTTCTAACCTCTGTATTGTAAACATGTTGTTGGGTCAAGAGGGAAGCTGTCAGCAGCCAAGCAGAGCAGAGAAGTGCTTCATCGGATGAAGAGAAAGCAGGTTCAGAGGGGAAGGCTGGCATCCAAGTGCAATAGAGAATTTTCTCTAGTAACTCCAGCAAAGGTATATTGGAAAACAACATTGCCACCACTGTAAAGGAAAAAAGGGGCTCAACAAGCCATGTGAAGATGAAGATGGTACAACTGGAAGTCAGCAAGTGCCAGGAACACCAATCACCAATCAAGTACAGTTGCCAAAATTAAGGGGTGGCAAAGTCTCACCCAACAACAACAACAAAAGCCAGAAATTCTTGGATTTTCTAGTGACCATATCTTTTAAGTTCTTGCATGACATATTAGTGCACATTAGTAGAAATGCACATGCAGTGTACTTGAAAGAGCTAAGTACATGTATTCACTATAGTTTGTACAGAGTATGTATGCATAGTTACAGACATGTGCATTGCTTCAAAATGGGTATACACAATAGCTTCATCTGAATGCAACATTTAAGCATGGATGAAGGATAAAATTATGTTTGTACACTATGTAAGACCAATGACTTCATCCATGATGATTTTTTAAAAATTAAAAATAAATAAAAATGTCTTATTCCCACCTGCCCTGAAGTTCCAGAGGATCCCATGGAATCCCTTCAATCATAGAGAAGCTATGGGGTATGGGGGGTTGAGGGATGGAAGATGTTTAATTTTTGAAAATTGCTTATGCCAGAAAGTGGGGGGAAATTCTTCTGTACTTAAAGGCTTTTCCATCTTGCATTGTGAATGGTTTCTCCACAATTAAAGGGATTCCACAGGGCCTTTGGGGTTTGTAACTGGAGTTTTTTCTTTATTTAAAAAAACAAAACACTGCTGATAATGAATCATCAGCCATATGCAACATAGCCGACACTCATTGTTTCGTGAACCAGACTTGTGATCTTGAGCCCACCTTCTCTGGTATTGGTGTAAAGAGCAAAGAAACATTCACTTCCATTTTTATCTAACTGCAATTATTCTGTCATATCCAGACCGCAACAAGGTGGGTCAGTCTTAACAACGATTTAGGGAAACAAGGAAACTTCAAATGGCTGTTTCCTTTAAATTGCTGGCCTGTTTGTCTGAAATGTACTTAACATTAACAGCCCCAGATTCATATAGAACAGTAAAACCGAGACAAGCAAAGTCTTGTGGCTCCTTAAAGACAAATTTTGTCTGGCATAAGCTTTCATGGCTTATAGGCCACTTTAGTCTTTCAAAACATATACTGTACTGTAGCAAATAAAATGTGTTAGTTCTTAAGCTGCCCCAAGACCCTTGTTATTTTTGCTACAACAGACGAACATGACTATTTTTGTAGAAACAAATCAATGTTAATTGAATACTGAAGTGAAAACTTCCAGTCATCTCATGGCATGGTCGAAATTTCATGTGGTTAGAATCACAGTGTCCCTATAGTGTTTACTTGGTCCCTGGACATTGGAAGAGAGAAGAAATGTAATAAATATATCAGTTTATACCCTGTTGCTGACTGGAACGTGTTGTTTGCTGGAGGCTCCAGTACAAGAAGTTCAGGGACGGCTGAAGAATTTCAAGGTCTGTTGGGCTGCATCTCCCAGATAAATTGCTGACTATGTGACAGAAAAATTCAATATGCTATTATGCCAAATCTGGTGGGAATAAACTGATGATACTGAAATAGCTACATCAGCCCAGACCACTGATCAAGTCAGTGTGGAATATTACCACAGACCCTGACAAGGACCATCTGCTTTGAAACAGAGCAGAAGAAATCTCACAATGAATTCTATCATAGCTGTGTATTGCAATCAACATATGTGTATAACTTATAACTCCTTATCATTTCACTCGAAAGGTTGCATCACAGTACTGTTGCTTATCACATGCATATTGAAGAGAAGGCAGAACATCCAAGTCATTTGTCACCCTACTCCATGGTTTGCAAGGATTTTATTCTTGCATAATTTGAAAATATAACTCCAGCACCTTGATTCCAAATTTTATCCAAAGACTAAGGGTATGATCACATAGGAAAATAGACTGAGAAGTGGTCCAGTGTGTGCATTTTCCAGTGTGTGATGCAAAAGGAAATGTGCTCCAGCTCAACCCTAATCTGTCTCCACGATGGGCCTTTTTGGTCCAGATGTAGTGCTTCTTCTTTTGGAGGTTGGGCTGCAGCAATTCCCTGGCAGATGGAAGGGTTGATTTAAAAGAGATTGCTCTTATTAAAGCAACAGTTTCTGGTGCAATTAGGCATGCCCCTTTACAGCCACTCTGACTGCACTCCAAGTAAGAAGAGGCTCAAGGATAACCAGGACCAAAAAGTTGCAGTTTGTATTTGCTGGCCTTGAACTACAACTATCAGTAAGCAAACCTCTCACCTATTATATATCAACATGAAACCTCCAGGTAGATCCAGATGTATCTCTCCTGTCCAATCCCTAATCACATCAAATCATCCAGGGCATATCCTGAATTGGTCAGTCCAGAGTCATGACAAAGGAGCACTCCATGAATGAAACAGTGTTGCTACAGATAAACCTATCACAACCTGTTGAAGTTAGAGGCCAAAAATAGTTTATATATATTTTTATATCATATTTACATATATATATACATCTAACCAGCCATATACATATACATATATATAATGTTGAACTCGTTTGCCGTATAGCTAATAAGCTTGAACGTTTAACTTTTGACTGATATGCTTACAGAGACTAATGTCGCTACTTCTTCCAAAACAATAAGCTGAAACTGTTTTATTTTATTTTATTTTATTTTATTTTATTTTGTTTTGTTTATATTCCGCCCATCTGGTATATTCTACCACTCTGGGCGGCTACCAACAAACATATACTCATTAAAATACAAAACCATAACATAATCAATAATAAAACAGTGCAAAATATAATAAATGAAAGATAGCAAAGAAAAAGAGTTAAGTGCTGGCAGGAGGGAAGGCCTGAGTAAACATCGTTTTTAGTTGGGTTTTAAATGTTTCATATATATGTAAAGTACATATGTGTGTGTGTGTGTAAATAAGTAAAAAAGTACACACACACACACACACACACACACACAAACTTTTTTGCCTCACCTTAAAGGACCAGTTGAGAAACTGCCTGCAGTCGAATCCACAGGATAAGTGGTGAGCAAAAAGAACGTTATGTGTGCAAATTTGGGTTTGAGTTCTCTAACTTCAACAGGTTGTGATAGGTTTATCTGTAGCAACACTGTTTTAGATATATATATATATATATAAATCTAACCAGCCAGATATCTGAAACTGATAAAGCCCTGTTAGAGTCACTATAATTGAGTGTCTTGAAGGCACATTTCAACATAAATAATCATTCTGTTAAAGTAATACCTGGTGCAGCCCAGAAAATTCACAGGCTGTTCAGATAAGTGCAGCAACACTGCATTTAAATTAAGCTCTGTAGGGCCAACAGACCAGTAGGAAGCCATGCAAGCTTCAGGGTTCCCATCTTGACCTTTGCAAGTAATTACATCTTGATCACTTCTTACTTTGATCACTCCTTCCTTTTTCAAGGAAGTATGTCTCTTCTTGTTCTTTGACCTTCTTCCATAATGTGGAAACAACCACGAAAGTGCCTCCATGTAGTCTTCAGCAGAGCTGCACATGGAAGTCAACTCTAGGGGCTTCTGTACTCATGTTTACTCAGTTTTATCGTGACTGACTGTCTCAGAATAATAAACGTACACTTTTCCTTTTATATTAGTAATTACTCTCAATTGATAGCCATAAGCTTACCTTACAAACTTGCTGCACTCTTTCAATAATTACTACAAACTATCTTAAAATAAAAGACTCAGAAACTCACCCAGATGGAGCAATCTGAAATCTATGCTGTCCAGCTCTCTGTCTGCAGCATACCTCAACTGTACCAGGAAGAGGACGTTTAACAAAAGTGGCAGGGTCTGGTTTACTAAAGAAAGGACCAATGGGAGAAGTTTAAGAATTTGGCTAAACACTGGGACAAACGTTACCACCCAAGCTAGTTGATAGGAGACCAGGCTCTCTCAGGAGGCAGCAGTCTTTCCATTTCTATAGATTAGCAGAGATTTGATAGTACCATTCCAGGAACACTGTAGTCATATCCAGCATCAAACAAAGGTAGAACTATGTGGTCTCCAAATTCCCTTCTAACCATATGATTTTATTAGAAGAACCTACTTTATTTCCCAGCCTGCTAAACAGAGAGTAATATTGGAGGTGATTAAGTGCAACTTAGCTTACATTGAAGATGTGTGTTTTCCTCCCATGGGGAAATACACATGGAGACAGAAGGACCTCTTCAGGTTTCCTCATTTGTCCTTTACCTGCTCTGACCTATACTGACCTTCTCCCACTTAGACTTATATTCTCAAGGTTGCTGATGTCCCTGAGGGAGGATAGAGTAGCTATCTCCTTATTCTTCATATGTGAAGGGGCAGCCAAGGATCCCTACATCTTCACCTTAGCTAGACAAAGGATTCCTATTATCTCTCAATTTCTCTAACACAAGCATTCTTGTACTCTTAGAATGAGAACTATGGATATGATTTCTTTCTAAAGGGGAAATATACTCTGCCAACCACCCCGATTTTTAGGGGCTGAATTCACAATAAACCTAGTTGCTGTTTGCTCTGCTAACAGATGGGAGCCAGTGTTACTTGAATGACTACTTCCTTGCATACATGGGTATACACTCTGTGTACCCCAAGACAGAAATTGCAGTTTTGATCTTAGAAGCAAAAGCATTACTACATTTGGCTGGAAGTAAAAAAACGCAATAAGCTGCTAAAGAATCCTAGGGCTGTAAGCTCTCATTTGTGTTGTTCTTGTGCACATGAGAGATAAACTGTAAATGTTTTCTCCTTGCCTGATGTACATTAATGAGTAGCTCTTGCTTTCTGGTTCTCACAATTGCAAGAACAATTCTTATGCACATTGTGCTAACTGCACAAACAGCAGCCTTGGTCTGGTTACTTAAAAAGAAAGGAAGCACTCAATAGGTTGTTTACATATTTTTGATCAGCTGGTTTTTTCTGTGCATAGTTTGTGTGCTTTGCTTCACAAATGGAGAAGACAGGAGTTTTGTGCAGAGACATTTTGCACAAAATTACCAGATACCTTGACTTAAAAAAAAAAATCATTGCTTGTCTTGTCCACCTCTGCTGGAAGCAAAAATGTTCATAAAGACCAGCAGTTTCTCAACTGGCTGTCTCAATGTGTTGAGAACACTTATCTTGTTGAGAATGAATAAATTAGCAAATATCCCTACTGTCCCCAAGCACAGCATATCATTTTGAATTAGGAATTGATACTGATGCTGTGTTTGCACTACCAGAAACAGATGAAATCTGGATAGCTCAGTTGAAATCAGATGTACATTAATGAGTAACTCCTGCACCATGCCACAGATGGGTTATATACCATGTAAAATAGAATGTCCAGATTACCAACATGAACTTTTCTGCAGACAGGTATAGTCATAGCAAGGACTCCAATATCTCTCCCAATATCAGGAATAATATCACTTCAGTGTAACCCAAACAATATCATTGCTGAGCCATGCCATACCAGATCATTTCTGTCCTAATCAAAACTAAAGAACCAGTTCTCTCTGACCTTTCCTCCTACATGAGCATGTGGGATTGACCTCTTACAAAGACAGTCATGGACTCAGACATGCAATAAGCTCATGGACTAACTAGTGGGCAGGATTTCACAATCAAATTAATTGTAAGTATGTTGTTCTTAACCACAGCATTTGTACTTCAGAGACATGTGTTCTATTCACCTTGTAAAGTGCAGGAACTATTTTCTACAAGAAACTTCTGCAAAATCTGTAGAAATTGACTTCGAAGAAGATCACAGATATAGACATCCTCATCTACTTTCAAAAAAGTCTTCAGTGTAATTAAGACTTTCTGAACCACTTCAGTAGTGCCAAAGCACAGCAGGTCCTGATATGAATGAAGCAGATCAAAACACAAATGAGGAAATTCTTCTGCTTTTCTGTAATATACTAACAAAATTGATCTGAGCACCTAATACCAAGCCAAGTTCTAAAACTGCTCATCACTATATAAGCTAGGATCCAAGTAGAGTTTCATAGCAGTTCTTATTAAGTACGCTGTGTTCCTCATCTGTTTATCCTCAATTCTGTCCACTCTGGTTTTCCCTGAATTTAGGGTAAGGATCTGTTATCTTCAATGTTTAATAAACTATTTCTGCTAGATATAATAGTTTTATTACTACTTTCTAAATATGGCAGCTATGTTGACAGCCTTCAGTCAGCCTCTTTCAGAAAACTCATTTCCTACTGAATCGCATAGGCTTTAAAACAGTGATCTTGGGTAGCAAAAAACTGATTGCTAAATGTTATTGCTAGGGATAAAAAATAGTGTGAAAAACATTTCCCTGATTGTAAGTCTTGCTTCCCCCCCCTCCACATACCCTCCACAAAATGGTAAAAAAAGGCAAGTATCTACAGTGGTGCCTCAACTTACGAATTTAATCCGTTCCAGAAGATGGACGTAACTCGAAATGGTCGTAAGTCGAAGCACCATTTCCCATAGGAATGCATTGGAACGCGATTAATCCATTCCAGACAGGAAAAAAATTACAAAAAACCCCACACCCCACTGAAAGCCCCATCGGAACATGCCGAGGCCGGGCGGGAGGAACACACACACACACAAAAAAAACAGAGCAAGCCCCATCGGAATTCGCTGGGGCTGAAAAAAAACAACACACACACACAAAACAAACAGAGCAAGCCCCATCAAAACGCGCTGGGGCTGAAAAAAAAGCCAAAAAATCAACAACACAGCAAGCCCCATTGGAATGTGTTGGGGCTGAAAAGAAAAACACACAGAAAACAAATAGAGCAAGCCCCATCGGAATGCACTGGGGCTGAAAACACACACACAGAGCAAGCCCCATCAGAACACGCTGGGGCTGGGGAAAAAATCACCAAAAAACCAAACAAACAGAGCAAGCCCCATCAGAAAGTGCTGGGGCTGAGAAAAAAAAAACACACTAAAACACACAAAAAAATTACAGCACAGAAACAGAACCTCCCCAGCCCAAACCCACTCTGCAAAACTCTGTATGTACTCACTCAGAAGCAGAAAGCAGCACCAGGCAGTCCGAAGCCTCCTCCAACGCACACTCTCTAACCGTTGGGGTGAAAGAGCTACAAAGAAGCAGCCTCTTCGGCGACCAACAGTTAGTAATTTAAATTCCCAGCCTTTTTGCCCACCTTTTTCCCAAGTTGTAACTCGAAGCTCCGGTCATAAGTAGAAGCAAAATTTTGCAGCCGGAGCTGGTCGTAACTCAAAATGTTAGTAAGTTGGGTTGTTTGTCAGTCGAGGCACCACTCTATACATCTAAAACCAGTATAAAACCCAATCACATACCAGCAAGAGAAGTAAAGCATTAGGATTGCCCTTTAGCATACAAAGTAAACTTCTAAAATTGTTGGTAGGGTCAGAAAAGTCAGCAGCATCCTTTGTAACAGCATTTTCAGATTCAATTTGGCTGTAGTCTTCGTAGAAAAACCAAAGTTGGAGGATACGGTGACCATATTTTCCCATAAGCTCAGGATAGTGTAAAAAGAATTTAAGAAGATGTGGATGATGGACATATACCAGGCTGAAATCAGCTATAGCATCCAGGAGCCTCCTTATTGTAGCAAGTGAAGCCTATATTTGGAGAGGAGAAAGGAGAAATCAGAAAAAAACAGCATAAAATCAAAATAACTCTCTAGGGACAAATACACTTCTAATATCTTTTTAAATGTAGGAATATGGCCAGATGATACCGGTGAAAGTCATCATTATCACTGTAATTTTAAATTGTTCAGGGCTCTATTCAGCTACACAAAAGGAATAATAGGAAAGCACATCAAGTAAACCACTCCAGGAATATGTAACAGTATTTTAATTAAATATACACAGTTCTATAAAGTTCTATCATACTAAACAAAAATCCATCTACAGTAAGTCCTTAAAAAAGATGAACCATTGTCTATTTTCACCCAATTCAAACATTTGTTTCCATACCACTTCTTTTCCCACATCATAAACATGCAGCTATTAGTAGTTTGTTACTGTGATTCAAATCTTCTCTTGAGCTCTTTTGTAACAATATCATGAAACCTTGAGATAAGGATACCAGAGCTTAAATTTTAATACTGTATTGTTAGAAAAATATAATACTTCTTCCACCTGTAGTGTTTCTATTGTTGATGGCTCTTGTCACTTCTATTTGTTATTTTGGCATGCTTTGTTTTAGTGTTTTTGACAGCTCTGCACTGTGCATGGTTTAAACCAGCACATGAAGACACATCTAATTGTTTTTCCTGGGAGCTTTCTCCTTACTAAAATGGGCAGCACCATACTATGCAAAACTAAACAGCACACTGTTCATTAGGGATTGGGACTTTGGGTTTAACCCAAATGGGAAAAACATGAAAGAGGTCCTTATTTTGGATTCTTTTGTTTAATGATGAAAGATAGCCTCTCAAACCGAAATACTTCATTTTAAAGAAAGAGAAAGACATGAAAGCTTCAGATGCCTTCAAAATTGTTTCTTTCAATTGCTCTTTCCTTCACCTCTTGTCTGTCCCATAACCCAGGAACTGTTTAATCAAACAGCATCACGAGGGCTGCTGTCAGCAACCAATCAGAATGCACAGGATGAGAGAGAGGGAATTTTTAGTCATAGAATGACATTGGTTGTGGAACCTAGCACAGAATGTTCTTTTACTTCAGTCCTTGCTTGAGGATGGGATGTGTGTGCTGCTGAGCTACTTGGTGCCCTCCACCTTGATTGTTCTTTTCATCTGTAGCTACGGATATTTTTTGTCTGGATTAGATGGTTCCCTCTCCCTGCCATCATCTTTCCTTTCTTGCATCATTCTGTGACCTTCTGCTACCTGCTGGTAGTGGACTCAGAGAATACATTAAGTTGTAGCGGAAAGAGAAATCTCCCCAAATTCTAGCTGTCTGGGTCTGGCACAGTCCCCCCCCCGTGGTGTTTTCCATTTTAGATTGTCTTTTTAAAGTTGTGTTATTTATTAATTTGCTAACTGTGGGTTATCCTCACTACCTCTGCTTTTTCAAAGCAGTTTTTAAGGGTTCTTCAGGGTTTCTGAATTGATTCTCTTGCCTATTTTGTCCCTGCTTTTTTAGAGTAGTTTAAAAAGAGTTATTTACAGATTCTGGACAAGTGTCAGAGACAACCTGAATAGGGAAATCCAAAATGAAAGAATCTGAAAGATCCAGTCCCTTTCATGTTTAACAAATAGACCAGTATCCGAAAACTAATGAGGCACTCCCCCCCAAAAGAACCCAAAACAAATGAAATCCCAAAGTTTTCCCTTTGCACATCCCTAGTATTCATATAGTCCTATTCGCAAAAAAAGAAAAGTAGAAAAAAGAAGAAAATAATAATGGCTATTCCCACAAAGCTAGACTACTTTTTCAAAAGCAAGAATGAACTATTGTGCAACTGCACTCTTTCTTCACGATCAGCATAAAAGGAACAAAACTCTGACTTAATTGTTTCGAAAGGTCCATAACCGTTAGAAATTAGATGGGTCCAATTTTAAAAGCTACTCCTAGAAACAGTGATCAAACCAGTGTTTACCAAGTCTAAAGCTTCTTCAGTCTTGTCCTGACAGCTTGCCAAAAGATACAAAACAGCTTTGCAGACATAAGGGGGTGGAGAGTCTCCTTGGCTCTGGACTGACAGAAGGAAGCTTCTTATAGCTGAGAATAGCTCTGTTTCTGGAACAAATCTAAGAACAAGGTTGTTGGGGTTTTTAATCAAGCTACAAGCTCGTACTGTACTTGATCTCAGCAACTATTTTTTCAGTGGAATAATAATTATGTGCTGTCAAGTCAATTTCAGCTCATGGTTATGTTCCCAGAGGTTTATAGGTACAATAAACTCAGAAAGTAAACTCAGAAGTGATTTACTGGTCACTCTATCTGGTACTGCTTCAGGACTGTTCAGCTTGGCCAGAGTTGCACAGATGTCAATGCATACAACCCATCAGCCACACATTCGCAGTCTAATCTTAGCAAGCTCCTCTCTTAGGGTCAGGGACTCCAAGCCACTGAGCTACACCAGTGGTCTAGCACCATGTTTTGTATTCATATCATTTCATTCATTCACCTGTCTTCTTGACTAAAAGCAAAGTAGAAAAGAAGCAGTAAGCTATACTGATGACTGCGTAGGATTTCATCTAAACAGAATGAATCCGGGGTTTCAGATAAGAGACTGAGGCTTTCCAGTACACTGACATTTAAGTCTGGTAGACTCCTCTGAAGAAGTTCAGATATTTCTTGTGCTAGGACAGAGAATGACAATCAGGGTATAGTAAAGAAACAAGGGAGCAAAAACACAAATAACATCCTGTTGACTGAAAATCCTATTGCCTGTTTCCTCCCTCCCCCCAAATATTAGCAAAAATACTACCAGCTTCTCCTAAAGTATACTACTATTCCATGGTATCCCACAAGACAGCAGGGAACATAAACTTCTTTCTTAGTTCTTATTGTGATCTCAAATCATCCAGAGGTTGAAAAATATGTCCATATAGAATGTGCAAGAAACACTGTTTTAAATATAAGTACTGTATTTTCAAATAATCAGCACATACTAATACCAAGATCCTATGTATCCCACCCAGTGACGCATCTGTTCTCAAACACATAGTGTATACTGCAGGTTGACAGAAACCATTTCCAAACCAAAATCACTATCAGACTTGCCATCTTGTGCAGAATTCATCTTCTCCAGGGATATATGCAGATTAAGACACAAGCTCTGGAGAAAGCTAGAACAAGCTTGATTCAAAGCAGAGTTACTGAGAAAATAATGAGAAAATAAGTAATGCAGTATGAAAAGCAGATACCACTTTAATGATCAAGGCATTCTCTGGTTTAATATTATACTACATATTCTATATGCTGTGAACCTGAAAAAATTAAGGTACTAATAACTGAACAATACAGCAGGCTTTTATTAGCATCTTCAGAACATTCTGCTGCTCTGTAAAAATTATAAGCATCTCATGCCATCAGAATTGAAGAAGCAAATAACAAAATGTCTTGGGACTTCTTGACATAAGTCAGGAAATAAATGTCAAAGAGAGCTGAACATATAATTTTGTTTTAGTACTACTTTTTAATACCTTTGTCTAGTGCAGAATTTGGCCTTCAATTCCATGTTCAGTCGGATAAAAGAAGATGTTGCTAGACAGAAGGATAACTTTGATTTAGAAAAATGCTTAAATTAAGACATTCAGTGGTACAGTTTGAGTGAATCTATAGGGTACTTAAGCAAATATCACAATTGCAAGAACAGTTATTATAATTTCAGTAAAGTACCACTACATCTCTAGGTTGTAGAAAAAAATATTCATCTATTGATTTCTTTAAATTATTTTTATCCCACCTTTGTCCTTAAAAAGAATCCAAGGCAACTAACATAATTAAAAGGCAATGTTCAAAAGCTAAAAACAGAAAGTATAAAAATATTTACAAAGAATCAAACACATTAAAAATGATAGACAAAATCAACATTAAAAACAGATTCAAAGCAACATGGCATAACACTTCATTTAAAACCTCTCTCCAGTAGCCAATCACTAAGGGAAAGGCTGTTTGAAGAGAAAAGTCTTCGCCTGCTTGCAGAAAGAGAGCAAAGAGAACATGGCCACCTCCAAAACCTTGGCATCCAGGCTCAGAGACAAATCCTGCACACCTGTGCAGCCTCATCCAGCACAGGCTGCATTCCTATTTCTTGTTCTGCCTTTTAACTGACGGTGAGCACCTCTGACTTGTCTGGAATGCACACTGGGACAAATTTAATGCTGCCTCAGATTTCTAAGAGGTTCTTCCATAGCAGGTTTTACTTGAATATTGTGACTGTTCATTTGCATTTTTTAAATGTCTACCTGACGTTGCCCTCACATTGTGGCTTCTTTGCATTTTCCTCATGCTTCTTCTGTCCTCCTCTATACTACAGAAAAACCGACATGTGGAAATCATGTAAGAGCAGCATGCTTCCTGCAGATACAGCTGTCCTTTACATAATATCAGGAGGAATATCAGGAGGTGGGACCACCATAGTAATATCTGTTTGTCTTTCAAATGGTTTGGCTTTTACATGTGCCTGCATCAAGCAGGCAAGATTATTACTATGCACCAGCCTTTTAGCACTTTCTTCACTATTACCTTTCTGGCTGGTACCATTCCATCAACATATTTATATTCTTAACCAATCTTTTAAACTGCACTAATGTGTGGTTTTGTATTTAGAATTTTCAGGAAATAGCTTTTAAATAACATGTCTTCAGATAACAAATTTAAACATTCATTACAATCAGCAACTTAACCTCCCTATTGGCATTGTAAGTCTACATTTTAAGTTATTCAAGTAACTATGCAGGATCATCTAAATTTAAGAAGTATTTGAGTGAAATGGAGCCATTTATTTCAAATTTAATATAAAAAATTATCTAGCAAATTGCATGCTCAAGGGAATTAAGCTTTTCCTGCTTGCATGACTATGTCTCACCACCAAATGTGGATGAAATATAATAGGATATAAAAATAGTCTTATATCCTACAAAATGAGAAAATTTAATTGCAGTCTTGCCTGTAGCTTATAACAGAAAAGAAGGAGATGTGGTGCTAGAAGCCACCAGTCATCAAACACGCTACATAAATAATACCTGCATTTTGAGAGGAGAATGAGATCCATGGAAACCCATCTGCTCTGAAAGACATTTAGCCATTGTTGTGATTCTTACTGAACTACCTGTCTTATTATTTGGTGGCCAATATCCTGTTATGTAAATCCACCTGCTCAATGAGAGTCATGATACTGGCAGCAGAATATTGCTGTTAATTAATGAGTTCTCTTTTTTTAGTTTCATAGTAGAAATGACAAAATTAAAGTCATATGTACCCCCAAAATCGAAAAAGGAACTCTTTAAGTGGCATGCTGCTGCCAGTGATGTCATTTTCATTGTGCAGTGGAGCTGCACAACAGAATACTGGGCACTGAAAACAAATTCTACATCTTTGTTGTAGAAATATACATACATATGACATAAGCAGAGATAATATTCTGTTCTGGTTCTCCTCACCCAGCTTAATGGAGAATCTCTTACAAGCATCTGGCAGAACACTAAATAAGATACTGAGGGTCGAGATGAACACTTCCATAAGAGCTGGGCGGATGGCCCTTTCCGAATATTTCTGCGGGAAGAAGAAACAGACATATTTTTCCCTGTTCTGGAAAGAAAGAAAAATATGCAACTCAGAAAAGAAATGAAAAATCATTTAAATAGGCTTAACAAGCCAAAAGGTATAATTGAATTACAAGATCTTGTCCTAAACTTGGTAACAAGAATGCAGTCATACAGTAAATTTTTCCAACAACCATAAACTAAAATTTTAATGCACCCCATTATTGGGGCAGGGAATCCTATGAAATAACAGGGCAGCTTTGCTATCACTAATTGAACATTGACATGGTTTCTTATATATGAACAAAAATTGCTGAGACACAATAAACATGTGATTGTCCTATAAAGGTAAGTGACCCGTCCAATTAAATGTGTAATGAAACATACCATGACTATGGGGATGCAAAAAGAGTCAGACAACCTTAGTAGAAATTCAGAAAATCTTCTCAGTGTATTTTTGTCCTCTGAGTTTGGAGCTGTGAAGGCATTCTCCTGAGCCAGAGGTTCTTTTTGGAGTTCTACAGCTAACCTTAAAAAAAAAAACAGCAAGTTTAGTGCTAGATCATCTTATCACTACATTGATGTATCAGTTTTGCCCTCAGTCACCTTGTTACAGTAGATCACTTAGCCACAGGCAAAAAAATCTGATGTGAAATAGAAACAATTCCAATAAACTGCAGTACCCTTCTATGGTATTTGTGTATGTGTTTGAAAGTTATGAAGAACTTGAGAAAACTGCCCTTTTTTCCTAATGCTGTGTAACAATTTAAGCAGTCCATTGACTTTATAAAGAACCATATAAAAAAGAGCTAGGTATTAGCAGAGGGCAGGATCAAAGGAAGAGAAGCTGTGGTGTAGATCAAACTGCATATGACTGAGGGGCCAGTGTGGACATTGGCACTGAAACAATCCACAGTTTCTGTGTGGTTACCTACCTGAACAGAAGTGTAAAACAGACTGCAAATCAAGCCACAGCGAAGTCAAATCATGCCAATTTGGCTTGCCGATGTAGCTGCAGTCAAAGCTCATTGAGTGGCTTTGAATAAGTTACTGGAGACCAGCTTTTAAAATCTGCTTGCTATATAAGCAGATAAACTATACTGTTCCTAATCAAGGCACGGTGCTTTCAGCTAAGGTTGTACATATGTACAACTGTACATATGTAGAATCTTCCACACAGTCAGGTATCCTAATCAGGTGCATAGTTACATGCCAACAGGGTTCCATTTACATTTCTCCTGAACATGCAGAGACCAGTGCTAGATCCCCTGGGCATATTTCTTCCTCCTCTTCTATGCATTCACTAAATGCACACTGAAGAATACAGTTTGAATATATGAACAGGACTCAAATCTCTCAGCCCAGCCTTATTAAAGACAATGAAAGATTTGATATCCTGCTTTGTGTTTCTGGGCCGAAGGAGGGATAAAAGTATAGGAAAGCAAGCAATGATACATTCTGAATCAGCAGTGTTGGAATTAGCTAGAAAAAGTGGTGTGTGTTTTTCTCAGCACTATGTAACCAGACATACATGACTCAGACACCACATGCTGATGCTTTTAGGATATACGTACCTAAAAACAATCCAGTGTGAAGAACTACTGTGACAACTGGATATAGAAACAATAAAGTAGGGAACTCTAGTTCATTCTCCTTTAGCCATATGTTCAGGTATAAATACAAGATTAGCATGAACAAATTCAAAGGAATGGGAGAAGACTGTCTGTGAATCTTTCTTAAGTGCTCCTAAGGACGAATAAGGCTGAACAAAATTCTTCCTCACCTGCAAGCATTCTTGAAGCTTTCTAAAGCACTCTGCAGGAACTGCCCCTGCTGTGAAATTGCTTTGTTCTGATGTTTGCCCCCTGAGTGACCCTGTGATAAGGAGTTGAAGAAAAAAAGGCTATGAAGAATCTATTTCAGGCCAGAAGAATCTTGCATTTAGAATAACAATTCCATGAACAAAATATTCATTTTGTTATTCCTGTGATCATCTGAATTAACTTATGCTACTCATCCCTTTTTTGCCATCATTCACAACAAATCAGTTGTCATTCTTGTTCAAGAGGAATTCAAGCCAACTTCCTTCCATATTATTTTTTAAAATACCAAAATTGAGACAGGTTGATAATTCCCCAGGGTCTGTAGTACATTGTACTGTCAAGGTGTGAAATTCTGTGTGTACAGAGTGCAAAAACAACTACGGGGTATAGAAAAAGCAGCCCTGAAAATATACGTTGCGTCTGAAAAATGAAGCTTGAACTGCAGTTTATTAAAAGTCACTGTGAAAAAATCAGCTCATCCTCTCCAGCTCAGCTTGAGAACAAGGCCATTATATGTAAACACTGGCTTGCAAAAGAATTTCCTTCATAGCTGAAAGTTCAGCATGGAAATAAAACAAAAGAGAAATGAAAGCATACTAAATTAAGTAGAACATATTTATGTTGTAAGGTGTTAAGATGACCAGAGATGGCATTTGCAGGACCTATAACTTGCACCCTCTGTGACTACAGTACCTTGGTGTGCCAGGTCTTTTATGTTAGAGGCCTTTATTCCTCCAGGCTGTGCAAATTTTAATCAGATCAATGATATTTATCATCATAGTGGCAGCCTACTAGATTCTGAGATACAAGCCACTGTAGTGCAACAACAACAGAGATTTATATTTAAAATTTTTCCTTAGTCCATCAGACCCCTACAACTTGCAGGCCCTGGAAAATATATTCTTTTCCATTGGAAGGGAAAGTTAAACATCTTAAAAAATCATAAATACAAGAAGATACCATAGAAGACAGAGACCAAAAATAAAATTTAAAAAAAAATCACGAGGAGCAAAGGATGGCAGGAGAGTTCCATAAGAGGGGAGAAAACTCTGCTGGGGATGGGGTTCAAAAATTTGACTGTCTAACAATGTGATTGTAAGTGTTTATGCTCTAGTCTTTTAATTACATAGTTTGTTAAGACACTTACCTAGATGTGACTTGAGAGGTTTTTTTTAATAACTTAAGAGAGTATGCCTTTGAAATACTTTATTATTAAATAATTGTAACACTTTAATTATCATCTTTTAATTCCATTCTTAAGCACCATATGCATTTTTATTAGAGCATTTTAAAAGTTTTTTTAAGAGTAGCTACTTATATTTTCCATTCAGCTCATTAAGTTTTCATAGTTATGTTCCTAAAACATTGTTTGAAGGAACACAATAAGTTTTTTTATTAAGTTTTTTGCATATTTAATAGACAATTCAATAGATAAAATGAATATAATACAATTATATCTGCATGTGCTTGTTCAATAAAAAGAAAAGTAGAGGTTTTCCTGGACATTTATCTATCTTGCACAGGGCAAAGAAGTTAAAGAATATTTAGAAGGAAGGAGTAAAATGTATATGATGCAAACATTCCTCTGGACCATACTAGACAGTAATGTTGCCACATTATGTAACAAAGCTCAATTGCCTTGTAGACCCCTTCCAACTCAATTATTCTATAATTCATTGAACACAAGGAAAGAGATATAGATTCTTTCAGATATTAGATTCTTCGTCTTTTAAGATCAATGCACACTGATGCCTTGATTCTAGAAATGTACAGCTCATACCCCTGACATATTGATGTAATGTCACAGCAACACCCACATATAGTCATATTTCATGAAGTTGCAGCATAGCTGTTTGTACAGCCTGTTCTAAGCACATATGTCCTGTTGTATTAAGTTTGCAATGTTATATATATCTACTGATGAGTGTCACTGAACTTAGTAGAACTTTAAAGCAAACATGCACAGGATATGGCTACATACCATCAAAATATACTGTAAAGTAAAAAAGGTGTACACGTAAGACCGTATCTTGTTTCTTTAGGCATTGCAGCTGGAGATTTTCCTGGGAAGGCTTTTTCAGATTAATTTTCCCTCAAATTCTCCACAAAATTCACTGGGAGAACCTGATCCATATTTTCCTGTCTTGCTGTACTCTTGAAGCAGCTAATAACTAATACATACTCTTTTTAATCTGCCCACCCCCTTATAAACACCTTGCAACTGAATTCACAAAATATTTGGATTTGATTCAGATTACTTCAATATAATTTCCACTGAATATAAGAGAGCAACTAGACAGTTGACCCACTGTTTGTGCTGCGTTTCTCACTGTTTCTTTATATATTTATTCTGTCAACTAGACAACATTAATTATTAGTGGACTCAATCTTTTGGCATAAATTTGTGGTTTATTTTGTTCAGAGAGCATGCTTTTTGTAGTATTTCCTGTTCCATTATTTTGTCTTGCTTTTGGCTTGTGCGATCAACCTATATCAGTTCTTTTGGGCGGTTTACGGGGCATGTCTAAGACTGCAGTCACAGCAGCAAAATGTTTCTGAATTACTCCTCGTGAATTTCAACCCATTTTTGGGGGTTCAGACAACACAACGCCATTAATTATTTTGTTCCACCTCCATGCAATCTCTGTTTTGTGGAAAGATTTCTGCATACAAAAGTGAGCAATATAGTGGACCATTCGGTCCTAAATAAAAATATAAAGAAAGTCCTCTAGAAAAATGGAAAGAGGCAAGGACTCAACTACCTCAACACATTTGCAAATACGGCAGCCTTTTCAACAGAAGAGACTGCTTGAATCCCACCATTCATGGAAAAAGAAAAAGTCACATATATGCCTGACCACTACCCTCCAATCAAAACAAAAAAAGAAACAGTATGTGACTAACCATGAGCCACCTATTAAAAGATGGCAGGGGGAGATCATTACACCGCATTAGCACACCTTCAACCAGCTTCTGTAGTTCTCCATATGGTATTGGTGGAAAGTTCACATGGTCCTTTCTGCCGTGAAAAGAGCAAGAAAGGATAGTACATTTGGAAGAAACCATTAAGTAGCTGCAAACAACTTGGATGTGGCATGCAATTAGCCATTCTTGATGTTCAACAAAAAAAAACCACCTGCCATCGGTATGAAAACGATAGGGACATGGTACCATTTCAGCAAGAAAAAATGTTGGTGCCGACTGCTGAATGCTCCATGAATCTACCATTTCCTTAATGTTCTAGAAGGATCAATATGTATTACTTACATAGATGGGGTCAACTGATATGGATAAATTGGTGTGAGATCAAAGTTTACAAGACTATGCTTCAGAATACCCTTTTTTGGGGGGGGTGAAGGTGTACTGCAGAAAGAGACTAGCTGGAGCTACACAGTAGAATGGAAAAAAATCTTTGGTTTAGCTTGTAGGCACCATAGCTATTCCCTGTTGGAAATCAAAGAGGAAGTTTGTCTTATGATATTAGGGGGGAACACATACATTGCTGCTGTGCTCACGAGGTCTCAAGCAAGCTATGGGATAGTGGGGATCAGGGATATTTGTCTGTGTTGAATATAGAGACAAAATGCTGAAAGTAAGATAAATACAGACATAAGATCAAAGCAAAGGGCACTAGAATTATGTATCTGTATAATCCAAGTATATTAAAGCTCTCTAGATCTTCCACATACGTCAGGATTGCAGTCACAGCTTTCACAGCTTCAGCTGCTACTTCAAGGACAGGAGAATTTACAGCTTCCATAAGAACATCAGTGGCATCTTTAAATATTGCATTATTTGCAAATAATTTGATTTCTGTTGGCTGCCTGAAAAGATGAAACATTTAAAATATTAAAAACAGCCTCCAACAGAACTCTTCATTGGCATTCCAAACTTATGGAAGTTTCAAAGTAAGTAAAAAAATAAAAATTCAGTGAATATGCTGCCATTTCAAAGTTATTACAGTTTAGCTTGGAAGCTTCAAGTGACATTATTAATAACAATTTGGTTTTGAGAAACTAACTGAAGTATGTCACACATGGGCATCATAAAAGCTTTCCCTGCAAAACATATGCCGAACCATATGCCTGTTGATTTCATTAAGTATTGCTGCAGTTTGGATTAGAAGTCAGATGAATGTATTCCTAATCTGTAGTCATTAGAAATCAAATGGATGTATTCCTAATCTATAGTACCTACAATAATTTCCCTTAGTGGGCATAAAAAAGGTGCATGTATTTATAAAGTTGCTGTGTGTGTATTTTGGGGTGCATGTGTTGTACAGTACATATAATATGGTTCCCCAACACTTATATGCATAGTAACATCATCCAGTTCATGTCAAGCAAATCCGTGAAACAGCCCCTAAGCCTCTAAATGAATATTTGAGGCACTGCATACCATGTATAACAGTTGTATAACAATTTGGTATCAACTACTACAGCATATTTTTAATAAAGGAGAGAAAAATCTCCCACACTACCAACAAAAAAACACAAGAGTTTAGAAGTACTGTACCATGTGTGCTTATTTGGTTACGTGACCAAGACTAATCTCAAAGAATCCGAGTCCTACAATAAGACTTTACCAGAGTAATATACAGTAGCGATATTATGATACAGTATACTGCTCATTACATCTTGAGAATAAGATTAATGGTAACTTCTCTGTTTAGGCTCCTGCTCTAACTGCTTCATAGATTAAAAGCAGTGAGAAACACTAAATGTAGAGCTGGCCTCTTCAGCATCCCAAAAGATCCAAGAGTAGCATTTAAATGCCTGTATAAAGTGTTTCTACAAACTGACCACCACTTTCACAACCTGGAAAGCAAAAGCAAGCATGCTGCAGGTTTATCACAAAAACAATGTGCTGGAATAAAATGCATCATTTGTACATATCTTTTCTACTAAAAACTTTACCCACACACTAATTACATCTTCAGTCAAAGTTGTTTCGTCTCCTTTAACTCTCTCAAATAAAGGTGAAGTAAGAAACTAGAAATCTGAAATCTTACCTTTTCAAAATTTCAGTGAAAAGCAAAAGTCCCTGCTTTTGCAATTCCAGATTATTAAGAAGCAAGATTTCTTTCAGGCTTCTTAAAATAGGTTCAATGCCTAGAATAAAGTTTTTAAAAAGGAGCATGAAAATCTACAAAGGAGGATCTTAACGTGAGTAGCAAGCATGCATTTCTGGTGGTGGCTGCAGGGCGATCACTAGGAAGAAGGGGGAACTTATATACATACAGTAGAGCCTGCTCCTGACAACAAGAACAAACATAGTTGCCTGAGCCCTATGGAGGGGGGAAAGTACTTTTTAAATGCTCCAAAAGAACAATAAAACAGAAATAATGAGTCACAGAGAACCCTTGAATGTGAAAATAGTATCTGTAATTATTCTGAACACTTTGGGCAGCAACAGGCTGAAAAGCAGAGAGCTTTAAAAGACTACTAGAGCTCTGAAGAATAACATTACAGTGGTGCCTCGCAAGACAATTGCTTTGCGGGACGATTAATCCGCAGCTGTTGCACTTCGCAAGACAATTTTTCCTATGGACAATTTTCACAAAACCATGTTTGGGTCTATGCTTCACAAGATAATTTTTTTAAAGAGACACTTTTTTGCAGATGATGTTTTTAACAGCTGGGTCTGTGACTCGCAAGACAAATGTTTTTCTATGACATTTATAAAGTTTTTTATTTGACTTTGTTCTGACTTTTTTGCCCATAGGAATGCATTAATTAGATCTCAATGCATTTCTATGGGAAAACACGTTTCGCAAGACGTTTTTTTCCGCAAGAGAACGATTTCCCCCCATTGGAACGCATTAATTAGATTTCAATGCATTCCTATGGGTAACCGCGTTTTGCAAGATGATGCTTTCACAAGATGATGTTTTTCGCTGAATGAATTAACATCGTCTTGTGAGGCACCACTGTACTATGGTTGGGAAAGGAAAAGTAGTATTCCAAAGATTAATACTTCCAAGTTGCATATAGCATCAATACCTCTTTACACAGCTCTACCATTCCAGCATACAAAAGACCAGAAATCAAATTATGATTGCTTATACAATAAAGTCCCAGGTGTTGCTGAGGTACTGCTCAGTATGGTTATACCAATGCTAGCTGCCATACAAATATTATCGAGCAAAATTTATCCCCATGGCAAAAATATCTCTGGATTGTTTGTCTGTTCTCATCTAGTAAAGATCCTGTGCATTTTATTAAAAAGTTCCTCGATGTGAGTTGTGCCCTGTTTATTTATTTCTCCTCAGCGCAACTGGAACTTAATGAATTCCACTTAGTCAAGCTTCTGTTCTCCATGAGGAAGCTTTCATCACTGGCTACTTTTTGCTATCTCATTTTCTTTTGAAGAGAGAGCTATTTCGCTATAATATTAACAGAATCCAAACAATGAAAGGAAAACAATGACTAAGCTACCCAATGCTATAGGGGAGGGCAGCAGAATGATGGGACAGTGATTGAGATATCATCAATTGTCTGCCTCTGCTAAACAGGATTTAATAAATTCAATAAAGCCTTTTGCTTAGAGGCACCAGGACCTCCAAAGCAATAGCAACAAACTTGAGTCCCCAGATGTTGCTGGGCTTCAGCTTCCAGAAGCTCCAGTCACAGTGGCCAATGGCAGGGATTCTCATAGTTATACTCCAATATCACCTGGAACCCAACGTTTTGGAACAGCTGCATTAAGGCCTCAACAGCAGTTTCCTTGTTCTGCAGGTACCACAAATCTGGACTACAAAAATACAGGAAGGCAATAGAAGAGACATTGGAATCCAATGATTTGGCAACAACATCATATGATTTCCCAGAATTCCTCCCATTTCTGTTGGTGTTTTCTGATAAAACAGTTGTTAGTACTATCAGTCAAAAGACAATGTGCACATAATTGGCACTGGTAAAACAGATTTTTTTCTGGAAAGGAACAGATGAAAATATAATCAAATGGCAAATATTAAAATAGAATTAATTTCAGTTATATGATTAAAATATAATTAACATTAAAACTCTTTAAAATCAATTAAAATATTGTTACTAATCTAACTTAAAATGAGAACCAACACAGAGAAAATTGAGGTTCTTCATTGTGAAAGGCCTACGTAAATAAAAGGTTGTTCCTCTACTACTGGAAAGAGGAGAGAAAGAGCAAAAAAGCATATCTTGATAAGGAGCTCCATTAACAACAATAACAGTAATAGTAATAATAATAATAAAGTATGTGAGGTAAGCCAAAAGCACAATAAAAGCTTTTACTGGAAGCAGCCTCTGTAAAATGTGAGCTTAAAAGAATGGCAGTGTCGGAGAAAGGAATTAATGTGAAAGAACTAAATGATACAACATCAATTCTGTCATGCTATAGCAAGCAGAGAGATTTACCATAGACAGTGTGGCACTTGGAAAAGAAAAGCTGTTCCTCCGTCAGAAGCAGCAAGCAACAATAAATTGACCAGATGAGAATTTCACTCATGCAGAAGAGACATTCAAAGAGGAACTCTGCAAGCAAGAACAAAAATAAATCCATCGTAGTATCACCTGAGCCCAAGAGAAGTGCTTCCAGAAGGAGAAAACAAATAAATAAAAACACAAAGGTGTAGGTTTTAATTTAAAACGCTGCAACATATCCTGGAAACTATCAAACTCGGCAGTTTGCCTTGAGCAGCTCTATAAAATTCAAAATAGAAGTTTCTACTCTCGGTACATGATATATATAATATAGATGCCTTGGAGATGAGAATTGAAAGCTCATGACAGAAACAAATCTAAATAAATGAGGTGAGAGACAGAGGGAAGTACCCAGTGGATACTCTTGGTAGAAATCCCAAAGAAGGCTTGAACAGATGGCTTCTGTCAAGCTATAGAAAGCTGTTGGTCTGGTCTTCAGCACCAAAATGTGCAAAAGAGCACAACACTGGTCACTTAGCATGAGGGTCTGGGTTGTAATTTTTCTTTTCCAAAGGAGGCAATGACTAAATGCTTCACCCAGGAGAAGCAGAGTTCACAAGACCAGAATTCTTTTGGTGCTGATGATCTACAGTATAAGATAATTGGGAAAGATTCAGAAGAGAGCTTCCAAAATCACCAGACTACTACCCTATGGCGAAAGACTAAAAGTCTAGGGCTGTTAGCATGAGAAAAAGGATGTGATAAAGATGTAAAAAACAATCCATAATGTGGAGACAGTAGACAGGGAGAAGTTTTTCTACCTCTCTCATGATGCCAGACCTGTGGCCGTGCACTAGAATTAGATTATTCAAAAGTCCCAAAAGCAAATGCTTCTTCACATAGTACAGTTATGTGTGTATCTATCACGGGCTGGCTGTGTTTGTCGCAGAAAAATCAACAATCTTGTGGCACCTCAAAGACTAACCCCAGGAATTCTTTTGCAGCTTTATGCTAGCTAAAGGTAATGGCATAAACTGCAGTGGCAAGCTGCCATTAATTAACAAGCTGTCTTTTACATTAGCACTCACATGCCAGTTATATAATTTGGCACATGGATAGGAGTATACATGGCATGGAATTCAGGCCATTTTATCACATGAATGAGAACTTATGAAAAATCACACTTGCTTTTAAAGAGCACCATACCATCACTGAACATGCCTTGGTGGAGAAACTAAAGTACCATAACTGTAAAATCAACTATTTATCAAGTGAGCCCTAGAGTTTCAGGGTAAAAAGATGGGTAAGACTCCTCAAAGAATACAGTTGTGCCCCGCTGGATGATTACCCCATTTAACGACGAACCCGCTTAACGCTGAAGTTTTTGCAATCGCAAAAGTGATTGCAAAAAGATGTTTAGATTGGGTTTTTTCATTTAACGTTGATCGGTTTCGGGAACCGCTGTTTGCTGATCATCGGGTTTCAAAATGGCCACCAGCTTTCAAAATGGCGCCCCGCTGTTTTCTAGGACGGATTCCTCACTATACAGGCACCGAAAATGGACACCGTATGGAGGATCTTCGCTGGACGAGCAGGTATTCAGCCCATTGGAACGCATTAACCGGGTCTTAATGCGTTTCAATGGGTTTTTTAATTTCGTTTGACAATGTTTTCGCTCTACAGCGATTTTGCTGGAATGAGTTAACATCATCAAGCGAGGCACCACTGTATCAGGAATATGTATGTTGTTAGGAAAAATGCACTCAAATACCATGAGAAATTGAAAAGTTATACATCAATCATCCAATACAAGACATTAAAGTAAGAACCAGTTCTAAAGGCAAATGATTATGATCCTTGGACAAATGAAATAACACATATCTAACCATATTAAGATGACTTAAACCACCCATTCTAAGAGGTATTTCAACTGCCATGTGCCGTTCTAGTACTGGATTAACATAGTGTAGCTGAAACAATACTACTAATAGAATTCCATTATTTATATCACAATACTTACAGCACATATGTTGGCAAGAAAATATTTGGGGTATTTAACAGAAGCGTTCTACTGTCAGCACGTTTCCCACACTATATTCCTATGAACAAGCATTTAGCTCTTAATCATCCTTGTTCAAAGAAGTTGAAATTACAGATAAACTATTCCAGTATGCTTATTCTTTGGAATATCTTATCGTCTAGTATGTTACTGATACAGTACTAATAACATAAGGAAAAATAAGATTCTCAAGAAACACCAAAAATACCCAGTTTCTACCTACTTTACTAAATACAGCAAATGGGCTGATACCTCTACTGAACAGAAAACTGGAGAATAAATCTTTCCCACACATGCTGTACTGCAAGGAAAAGGAGTCATTTTGTTTACTGGTTTAGCATAAGTACTGTATTTCTTCCACTACAAGTTTCAGTCACCACATCTCAAGGTCAGTCAATACAACCCATTTGGCATGAATGTGGGTCAGACGGCTAACACAGAATTTAGTGGTATAAGAAATGGGCAACTGCTTTTTCATGCATCCATTTCATAGCTCAACCCACATGACATGATACTGCAAAGCAGCTGAAAGCAGGTTTAGAAGGGATATTATCATTTGCTTTTCTCACCAATACATAACACATTTTGTCTGGGTATTTTATTGTTGATTACTGCACAGAATGAGGCTGTTACTGGAGTAACTACCTCATCTATTACTGCAAATTTGAAGCACAGTTTGGGCCTAGTGTGTGTAAATGTAGCCTTAAGGTTTAGATTGCTAAACATAAGATACTTTAATAGTTACATAGTTATTGTGCTCCTAATGTATTATTTATACTAATGCAACAGAATAGGAGCTGCAATATTCCAAATATGACTCGGAGAAGGGGAGTTCAATGGTATCCTACACATTAGCAAACAACAAATAGCAAAATTATTTCTGTTACCTGGAATATCTGCATGGATAAAAGCAGAAGCATATTTTGCTGGTGAATGCACCAGTACAGCAGCTATACATTGAGCACTTGCTATCTGTAGTACCTCATCTCTTGACAGTAACAGCTGTATAGATAATTAGAATTGAGAAAAATTATTCCACTGAATTTCTACAGCACGTTCATTAGAAAATTTGTTCACTGAACTCAGATAAGAATAATTTAAAATAGAACAAATGCCTTTGCCATACAGCTTATAGGCTAAGGTTTTTTTTTTTATTTCAGGACTGAGAAGTGAAATAGCATTATAGTCACTAAATCATTAGTTCATAAATATGAATGATTATAAATGATATAACTAAAGATGGGCAAGAATTAAAAAACAAATCACCAAATTCATTCAAAACTCACTAATCTGTCAATTTGTATTGGTATGAATCAGTGCCCCTCAACAGATATGAATCAATTCATTGTTAGCTATTTTTATTGATTCATTTGGCTATAAAATGGGGCCACAGGCACCTAGAGACTCTTGGCTTCCTCTACAATCCCTTCAAGTTTGGTGAAGATTGGTTTTTCCCAAGCCAGCTGCTAAAGGGCACTTTCCTGCAAGGGCATCCACTATGTGGGTGTATAACATGGATATCTGACACCCATTCTTCACCAAACTTGGAGGAATTGAAGAGGACAGTCAAAAGAAGCTTCTCTGTGATTTTGGTGTTTCTAGGTGCCTGGGGAAATGTCCCTGGGGGGCTCTCCTTGTGGGTGTATAACTTGGACGTCTGAAAACTAAACTTCACCAATATATTCATGAAGGCTTTCACAGCCAGGATCTAATGGTTGTTCTGGTTTTTTCAGGCTCTTTGGCCGTGTTCTGAAGGTTGTTCTTCCTGACGTTTTGCCAGTCTCTGTGGCCGGCATCTTCAAAGGACAGCAACCTATACTCCAGAGTACAGGTTGCTGTCCTCTGAAGATGCCAGCCACAGAGACTGGCGAAACGTCAGGAAGAACAACCTTCAGAACACGGCCAAAGAGCCCGAAAAACCCAGAACAACCAATAAACTTCACCAAACTTGCAAGGCTTGTAGAGGAGATTCAAGTGATGCTTCTCTGCAAATTTGGTATCTCTAGGTGCTTGGGGGCATTTTATAGAGTTTTAAAGTCAAAAATAAATTGATGAATTGATTCATCAATTTGTCCAAAAATCATAAATTCATAATTTGTTATTAATCAACCTTGATGAATCACAAATCAAAATGACCATTTTTCTGAATTGTGCCCATCTCTAGATATAACTGTATCCACTATGGGTAGATTAATAATTCTGAGAAATATATTCCCTTTATTATGGAAGTGATCCTCTATAAAATGAAAGAAAAATATTCCCATCCACTCTTTACAAGATGTTGAGACATAATACAGAGTCTTTTTAATTTCATCTCTATGGTCCATAGACTCATCTCTATTCCAGCTCTACAGTTCTAAGATGATCATGATAATGATAATGATTAAGTAGTCACCTAGTTCTGCATAGGCAGATACAGGGAAACCAAATAACCTAGGAATTACATTTCTTATACAATCCGACCAGCTCAGCTCAAAATAATGACTAAATTAATTATTGACTTTTTAAATAACAAATGTTAGAAGTGTAGATAACTAGCCTTCATAAAAATTACCTTCTTGAGCATCAAAGGCAAGGGGTTTCCTCCCTCAAACAACTCTGGGCTTGCAGAATCTGCCCCTTTCCCCGAATTGCTCATAATAACAGAAACAAAATTATCATATTTCAGGAGCTGCTTTAACAGACCTGCAACAGAGTGTGTATATGTGAAGAACAGCAACACGCAAGACATTATGAAATATTTGTGTCCCAGTATTAAGGTCTGAAATGACTATTACTTCACAGTAGTAGTCCTTGCTAAAACATTATAACATATTATAGATGGGATAAGATTGAAGCTGACATGTATAAAGTATGCCAAATAATTCCTTGATGTTTTTTATTTTGTAGCCTATCAATGTGGATAACCTCCTATACACGTCCAGCCCTGAACCATAGAAGGACACATCCATTCTTGCAAACTTCAGCCCAAAGTCTTTTTTCTTACAAAATGAATGTTACTGAAAAGCCCCTTCTGGCATTACCAAATGTGAAATGCTACAATAATTATGCCATTATCTGCTGTTATTTCCCATAGCCCAGGTTCCTTCCCAATTAACCACAGCCACATTTATAGAACAAGCTTCAAAGATAAGGCCAGGGATTCTTAACTCATTAGCAAATGTGTAATGCCCTGTAATTGGTTTTTTTCTCCAGGGCAGGCGGACCCAGGGATTCGGCGGGAATGACAGCCGGAGACGAAGTAACAGTCAAAAAAGGATTTGTTTTATTAACTCTGTCATTAAACAACTCAGAACTAAACGGATTCGGCAATTCGTCTTCGTTTATCAAACAATACTTCTTGGGGTTGCCCCCAGGTCCATTACTCTTAACTTTTACTGCTTCTTCCCCCCAAAGTGGGTGACCCAATTCTTGTTCCCGACTGGCACACTCAGCACTGAACAAGTTGTTCGGCAACATGGATGTATCACGACCGATTCCTCTAATCTGGGAAGGAAAGGACTGGTTCCACCAAGGATCCCCCTGTCCACCACCAAAGGGCTGGCAAGATCCATTCCTTGTTTCCATCCCTCCTGTTGGACACCCGTGCCCACTTTAGCAACTTCTTTGGGTAATGGCAGCAATCCGTCCTCCTTCATTAAGTTCGGAAAAGTCTTTACCAAGGTTGCGATCTTTTCTCTATCTATCCCCGTCTCCACCGTCTGAGTGCTCTCTTCCTTTTTCCCTTCTCTCCCTCTCCTCTCTCTCTCCTCCTCTTTTATAGGATCATCCCACCTCCACATCTTTTAACTCCTCCCCCCAGTCCTTCATTCTCTCCGCCAAGAACACCTCTATCGCCTTGTTAGTTCCACTCTCATCATCGTCCAGCTTAATAAGTTCTCCTACTACACATCCTTCGTGTTCTTCACTCTTGGAGGTCTGTGAGGACGGCACACTTGTCTGTCTCCACTCACATGCCACAATGATTATCTTGTGTCTGCTGTTATTTCAGGTTCTGTTACCCACTAACCATTGTCCTTTTTGAACGGAGCTTCAAAGGAAAGAAACTGAGTATCAATTAGGGGTCTTGAGTCATTACTAGGTTTGCAAGACCACACTGACTTAAATAATTTGCTATTTGTGTATACTAACCAACCTCTGTCTCTTTATTTTGGGGCCATGTATAAATGCATAAATATTTGCCATGAGAAAGTGGACTTGATCCACAAAAGCTCACCTTAAAATGTAGCACCTGGTTTTTAAGATGTCACAATGTTTTTGTCCTCTTTATTTTGTTTTGTGTTGGCTTTGTTTTGTTTCTTGTTTGATATATTCTGCCACCTAGTGGCCATGTTTTCAAAAAACATGCAGCATGAGGGCCAGGGTGCTGCAGGCCCATAAAATTAAATGTTTCTCATACCCCCTAGCAGACATTGGGGAACTTTGATCAATATGTTTCACTACTGGGTATGTGGGATACTGGGGTACATATTTTACCTCTTTAAGAGCCACGTGCTGCCTTCATGCTGAAGGTTTTCCACCTTTACTCCTAATAATACTACTGTACACTTGTACTTAGCTGATCCATTTATTCCTTGATAAATGAAACCATTAAAATCCCACATATTTTTAGGCTCATCAGACGAACAAACCACCTCCCATAACTGTTCATTTTGCTGTTGTTTTGCTTTGCACCTATGCAAAACCCCTTGCGTTGGAAACAGAGATGGTCACAAACTGTCAGTTTGGTGATTTGTGCCAGTTTGGACAATGGCCGAACAGGTTTCTCACAGTTCAGTGTCCCACCCCCTCTGGTGGGCACTCACTCAGAAGCAGCACCCCAGCTTCTCTGTGCTGCCTCCTCTGGTTGCTGCCACGAAGTGCTCATCTCTATTTCCAACCCAAGAAATTCTGCAAGGGTACAAAGCAAAACAACAAAAACAAAGCAACAAGGAAAGGAACAGTTCATGCCCATCTCTACTTGGAAGCTTTCAGCTTTGCACTAATCTACTAATAAAACTAAACAAAAATATTCACCAGAGAAGATAGTGATAACGGAGCAGAATCTTAGGACCCAGGTTTGGCCTGTAGCATCTTGTGCATTGCTCAGGAATCAAACCCGGGCCTCTCACATGGCAGGCGAGAACTCTACCACTGAACCCCAATACTTCAATAGGTCTCTTCCATTTCATTTAAATAGGTACAACTGATTTTGAAAATACCGTAGATTACTAGTATTTATTTATTTATTGATTGATTTATTGATTGATTGATTGATTGATTGATTGATTGATTGATTGATTCATTCATTCATTCATTCATTCATTCATTCATTCATTCATTCATTCATTCATTCATTCAAATTTATATGCCGCCCACACTACCCAAAGGTCTCTGGGCGGCTTACAACATTTAAAATACAATAAAAAGTCAAAACAATTAAAATGCAATTAAAATATAAACTCTAAAAATTGCAATCTGACCCACAGTTGATATTATTTCAATTAAAAGCCTTCTAGAATAGGAAGGTTTTGATCTGGTGCTGAAATGTCATCAGCATCGGCGCCAGACGAATCTCAGTCAGGAGGGCATTCCATAGTCTGGGGGCAGATGCCAAAAAGGCCCTTTGTCTACAAGCCGTCCCTCTTACTCCTTAAGGGACGGCTCTTTCAAAAGGGCCCCCTGGCTAGATCTTAACTGCCGGGTAGGTTCATATGGAAGGAGGCGGTCCTTCAGGTATCCAGGGCCCAAGCTGTTTAGGGTTTTATAAGTGAAAACAAGCACTTTGAATTGGGCCCAGGCAACAATTGGTAACCAATGTAACTTAAACAGAATCGGCTTGATATGTTCCCTAGCAGCACCACCACGCACCAGCCACGCAGCTCGATTCTGGACCAGTTGCACTCGCCGGACCGTCTTCAAAGGCAGCCCTACATAGCGCCCATTGCAGTAATCTATGCAAAATGTTACCAGGGTGTGCGTAACTGTAGGGCTGTTAATACTTGACCTAAGCATGGCACACTGGACACCACCTCTGATTCTGCAGTAACGGTGGAGTCCAACCCACTGTGAATCTGAGCGATTTTTCCCTCAAAATGGATGGCAAACTCATCACAGTGAATGTATTCGCAAAGACTTTCATGGCCGGGATCTAATGGTTGTGGGTTTTTTGGGCTCTTTGGACGTGTTCTGGAGGTTGTTGTTCCTAACGTTTTGCCAGTCTCTGTGGCCGGCATCTTCAGAGGACAGGAGTAGCACTGTGTGCTCTGGTGCAGTTTGTTTGGGAGTTGAGCTAAGCTCAGCACACTGGACACACCCTCTGATTCTGCAATAACTGTGGAGTCCAACCCACTGTGAATCTGAGCGATTTTTCCCTCAAAATGAATGGCAAACTCATCACAGCAAGCTAATGAGCAATCTGGGACCTCCACCTGATTTCCCAGTTGAAGAAGATCCCCAACCACCCAAAACAGCTCTGCTGGATGACATTCTGAGGAAGAAATACGGCTGGAGAAATATTGCTGTTTCACCAGCCGTATTGCCACGAAATAGGTCCGATAAATATGCGCACTGCCAAAGGCTCTGGATCAGGGAAGCTTCCTATTTTAGTGCTAACTCAGAAAGTGAGGGAGAACAGCAGATCTTAAAGTATCTGTGCAAGTTTTTCTCAAGAGTTGTAAAAAAAAAGCCCTGCTGTTTTCTGAAGTAGATCACAAACGTCCCTTGGTGGAAGAGGAAATAACCACTGCTCAGGGCTCCCATTAACAGCTTTCACTTTAGTGCTAATTTGAGATTAATTAATTATAAAGATTCAGCACAGAACATTCTGAATGACCATTCTAACTGTTTATAGGTTCTTATAAACAGATTTTCTTGAAAGTGAAGAGACACCGAGTTTCAAGAGCACAACATGGACAGAATTTCCAGTAAACTCTGCATTTCAGTGGCACCAGCTGACACAAAGCAGGAGGAAAAAATATACCACCTGAACAAGCCCTCTAATACAACTGGCTGGAATTCAACTAAACAATTACACCAGTGTTAAATCTGTCATGTAGATTTTACCAATGAATTGCTGCAGAAGTCATGGCAGACATTTGTTGTCACACATAGAGTCATGCAACTGGCATGCAATACCAAACACTTATACCAACTTCTTAACTCACAGCAATTTGCTGCTGGAACCTACACCAACGGACGTTTGTCAGCAGGCATAAGTAATAGGATTCCAGCCACTGGATTTTAGATTGGCTTCTTCCACTTTCTATTCCAGATTCACAAGAAAGCAACACAGAATAAAATGTATTCTCAAATCACAAATGCATTTTATTCTGCAGTGCTTAAAACATTCATGAAAATATCCAAAGCCCTTCCCCTCTGACTGGACATCTTACCCATACAGTTAATTTGCAGCTCCTTGGTCTGTGCACTCTTCAGAGTAGTCAGAAAGAGGCCACACAGCCTCTCTGTGAAGTGCACAAATAGCCACTCTCCAGAACTTGGGAAAGAGTAGAGCTTGCCATAAAGATAGCATACAGCGGCCTTTATGTTCTCATTGGGATACATCAAACTTGTAGCCAGATGCTCCATCACATTACATGCAGACAGAATAGAAAAGGCAATTACAAAGAGACAACAGTACACTTTTGAAAAAAATGAAGTGCATAATCGCTTGTAGGAACACCATTCAAGCTAGGCTGTCACCTAAACCTGGTACAGTATTTCAGTCTACATGCAATTATTCCTCAGAGTCAAGAGCACAAATATATTTTTAAAAATTCATTCTACATACTCAGCAATTGCTACTACAAGTAATTAGGCTGTCCTGCATGTGTATAAGATCTGCACACCAAGTGCCCCAATTGCTTTGTTTTTAAGGGAATAACAAACATGCTGCTTTGGCAACATAGTGTGAGATGTACATAATAAATGTTTTCAGAACATACAGTTTTTCCATACAGTTAATCTTAAAAATATGTTAGGCCTTCCTGCATCTTTCTCTGTTGATTTCTTGCAACTGTCCTTCAGAAGCACATAGCTTGTCATCTATCAATATTTTTAAAAACAGCGTTTTTCTATAGCCTATTTATTTCAAAATAATTTACTGGTGAAAATCCTGTTGCATATTTCTGCTGGAAGAAATGCAATGTGTAACTAACAGCAGCAAATTCCCACTAACCAACAAATCATGAGTAGTATGGGGCACAACCAAGAATCCAAATAATAACTCATTAATTAATGGCATTTTGTCACTGTGAGTTACACCAGTGGTTCTTAACGTTTTTGAAAAAAACGCCCCCTTGAGCCATTGAGGAAGTTATCATCGCCCCCTCCCCATGGTGATGATATTTATTTATTTATTTATTTATTTATTTATTTATTTATTTATTTATTTAGGACACTTAAATCCAATGACCCCTGAAAACAAAATTCAATTCCAAGAAAATGAAATGCCCCCCCAAAGTAACATTTAATAATTTAGTTGCAAGCGAATTTTAAGACGCAAAAAGAAATACAGTATAAAAAGGGCATAAAAACAAACTGCAATGCAGGAACTAAAAATTTCAAGACAAAAACTCT